CTGCCGCCCGCTGCTCCCCTCAGCAGTGTACTTCGGTCCTTCTGCCTGCTCTGCTCCCTGCTCTGGCTCTGGTGAATTCTCTCGCCCTCCCGCGCTTCTGACTGTACCCAGTGCATGTATAAACAAAACAAACAAACAAACAAATAAATAAACATGCCTCTATTAAAAAAAATAAAAAATAAAAAAAATAAAATGTTAAAAAAATAAATAAATAAATAAATAAATAAGAAAGAAAAATAGAGAAAAATAAGTAAGTGAATGAAGACTGGGCATAAGTCCGTGTTCTCTTTCTTGGTCAGTTCTGTCTCCCTCTCATCACCATCTCCCTCCCCCCGCCACTAATCATTTGCAGTTTTTCATGTTTATTTTTAATATCTTTTTTTTTAAAGATTTATTTATTTATACAAGCACTGGGTACAGTCAGAAGCGCGGGAGGGTGAGAGAATTCACCAGAGCCAGAGCAGGGAGCACAGCAGGCAGAAGGACCGAAGTACACTGCTGAGGGGAGCAGCGGGCGGCAGTAGAGGTCTGCGCGCCATGTGGGACCCTCACTGGTGGCCGGGGAATCGAGCCTGCGCTACAGAGACTGCAGGCAGCTTCGCAGCTCAGCGTTCAACCGCTGCGCCACCAGGGGAGGCCCTATTTTTATTATCTCTTAAATGTGCTTTCTTCTACACCTTCTATCCTTTTCTCCTTGCCAGCACAGGTCCGTATTTTCTTGCCTAGGTTTAACACAGTAATACCCAAAGATCTTCTGCCCTCTAAACTTGTCTGCTTTTCTCTAACATATTACAAAACACGCTCTCCTGCTTAAGATCCTTCAGTGCTTCCAGGTCAAGTCCAGAGGTAGCTCGAAAGACATCGTGCTCAGGCAGGCCCCATGCTCGTCTGCTGCCTTTCTTCCTAGGCCCTTATTGCCCAGGCCTCTCTGGGCTGCCACTGCCTTTCAGCCTCCACTGGCCCGTCCATCCGTGAGACTTCCTCCAAGAAGCTTCCCTAGTCCAGCAAGGCTCAGATAGGGGCTCCTGTTTTGTTTGTTTTTTTTTTATATAATTTTATTTTTATATTCCCCATACAATTGCGACCCCCTTATTTTGACCCCAATCCCTCCCCTCCCCGCCCTTCACCCCTCATAGAATGTCTCTAGTTCATAGTTGTTTGTTGATTTTGACTTTTACTTTCTTATAGTTATTCTTTTTCCTGGCCCCTTCTTTAAGTTTTCTAGATACCTGCTACGAGTGAGACCATCCGGTATTTTTCTTCTTCTTTCTGGCTTATTTCGCTGAGCATGATCCCTTCCAGCGCCATCCATGTTGCTGCAAATGGCATGTGTTTATCTTTTGAATGCTGAGTAATATTCCATGGTGTATATGTACCACATCTTCTTGATCCAGTCATCTATTTTTGGGCATTTGGGTTGTTTCCAAAGCTTAGCTATTGTAAACAGTGCTGCTATAAACATAGGGGTGCAGGTGCTCTTTGGAATGGATGTTTCTGTGTCCTTTGGGTAAATACCTAGGAGTGGAATTGCTGGATCCTATGGAAGCTCTATGTTCAGTAGGTCCAGAGATCTCCACACAGCTCTCCATAGCGGTTGGACCAGTTTGCACTCCCACCAACAGTGCAGGAGAGTTCCTTTTTCTCCACCTCCTCGCCAACATTTGTTGTTGCTAGTTTTTTTAGCATGTGCCATTCTCACTGGTGTCAGATGGTATCTCATGGTAGTTTTGATTTGCATTTCCCTGATGACAAGTGATGTTGAACATTTTTTCAAGTGCCTGGTGGCCATTTGCATTTCTTCTTCAGAGAAGATTCTTTTTAGCTCTTCTGCCCATTTTTTGACTGGATTATTTTCTTTGTTGTTGCTGAGTCTCATCAGCTCTTTGCAGATTTTTGTGATCAGTCCTTTATCATTAGTGTTGGGTGCAAAAATGTTCTCCCAGTCGGTGGGGTTTCTCTTTGTTTTGGTTATTGTCTCTTTTGCTGTGCAGAAGCTCTTTAATTTGATGTAGTCCCAGCTGTTTATCTTTGTCTTCACTTTCACTGCTTTGGGTGATGTGTCTGTAAAGATGTCTTTGATGTGCATATCACGTAGTGTTTCGCCTATTTTTCCTTCTATGTATTTTATGGTTTCAGGTCTTATGTCTAGTTCTTTAATCCATTTTGAGTTGGTTTTTGTGTATGGTGTGAGGTAGTAGTCAAGCTTCATTCTTTTGCATGTAGCGACCTAGTTTTCCCAGCACCATTTATTGAACAAACTCTTTGCTCCAATGCATATTCTTTGCTCCTTTGTCAAAGATTTGTTGACCATAAATCTTTCCTTTGTACTTAGCTCGTAGGTTGTCATTGCTTATTCTTTGAGTGCCCTACCACATCACTAAAACCCCTGGGGCCAGGGGCCACGTGTGTCCCCAGTGCCTGGCACAAGGCAGGCACCAGCAGAAGTAGCACCTGTCACTATTACCAACAGTTACTTAGTTATCTGGCAATCATATGCCAGGCTCTGAGGTTATCAAGGTCCTACTTGTTTTCATGATCTCTAATTGATTACCGCTTATAAACATAGACACATCTAAAAAGTCTGAATTTTAGTTCATGTTCTTTGTGATTGAAGAAGCAACACCATCTCTAAAACTGTATCTACAAGTGGACTCACTTGTGGAATGAGTCTTAGTAACAAATATTAGGAGACAGTTGCTGTGGCCAAGTTTCATTAATGGTAATACCTAGATTTAGTTAAAAGTGATTAAGATCCTTTTTGCCTTTCATAATGGATTCACAACCCTATTTGAAAATGGAATGTTAATATATGAGAAAAAGGCAGCAGGTTAATTCTTAAACTCTGCTTGCATTTGTAATATCATTTTAGAGCTCTGTGAATTATAACTTGTAAATCCTAATGAGGCTATATTAAGAGGCTAACTAGAAGGTTATAATCTTATCCTCTTACCCATTTCCATACTCTAAGAGACTAAAATAAACACATCTGTATTGCACTCAGAATAAAAATAAACACTTCAGAGTCACATAATTGAGAAATACATTTTTAAGTAGGAAACACTGATTAAGATTGTAGTTTTAAAAAACATAAAGCTTTTTTGTGTTTTTGTTTCCTGCTACAAAAGATTTTTTTTTCCTTTTAAATGATGTGAGTGCTGAGATGTTTGTTTCTACTCTAGAGTACTGGGTGGATGTTGGTTGTTTTTAAAACCAATGTTTAGCTTGCTAAGCCTGCCATACTTATATGTAGATCTTTAAAACGACAAACTATAGACATGTACGTTGATAAATCCACACTGAAAATAAATGTTAACCTCATTGTGGCATCTTCCCCATACCACCATCAACTCTACTTTGGAATTGCTTTTTTAACCTAATTAACCTTTGGCCTAGCTAACCCCCCAAATTTCCCTAATTATTTATTATTTTAGATTAGCCTTTATAGCATTTAGACATGTTAGAAGTATTTAAATCATGGATTAGCAAATTATGGTTCAGACAGGGTGGCTGTTTTTGTTAATAAAGTTCTGTTGGATCAGAGCCACACCTATTCATTTATGACTTGTCTGTGGCTGATTTGGGGATAGAGAGGCAGAGAGAAGAGCTTGACAATAGAGACAGTGTGGGCCGCAAACACCTATTATTGCCAGACCCTTTGAGTAAGAGTTTGAGGATCCAAGTTTAAACCATCCTGCCATCTAACAGTTTGTCAATTTAATTTTAAAAATAACTGCCTTTTGATTATAATGATAAGCCATTAGATGATATATTAGAATATTATTCAATAAAGGAATAGATTACGATAAATGTAGCATGTGGAGTACCAGGTGTCTCACACACGGGAGTACGTGCTGGTTCCATGCCAGCGCAGGCAAAAGTAACCTTCAGTGGCAGGGGGGAGGAGGAAGAATCGCTGTTGCCTTGGAGTAATGGGGTGGGGGTTGATTATTTTAAGTTTCAGGGATTTGGGAGCTGATCAAGGAAAATGATGAGAACTTGGGGCAGAGTTGCATGAGAAGGGACACCCCCACAGCATGAGGCTGCCTGGAGGCTAATGGCTACAGGGCTCCTACCCCACAGGGGAGCAGGCCAGGGAACTCCTGGGAGAAAGTGGTCTCAGAGTGGGCATCTCTGGCATGACCTACCACCGGGAGCAACATAGATGGCATTGCTCAGTGGCACAACAGGGGTTCTCTGAGTCAGAGCCTTCCAACCGGCAGTGGTAACTCAGGGTCTCTTGACCCACAAGACTCTATCTTAGCAACAGCTGGTCTGTGCTGGGTGCAGGTTTGTGGAGTGTGCAAAGCAAGCAGCTACACATGGCTGAAAATCTGTGTTCGGACTCTTTTGAAAATAATTAGGTAGGTAAAAATTTGAGTGTGGCACCCTTAGACTTTGGAACTAGCGGGTCGCAAGGACACAATTAACAGTCCAGGAGCCAATGCATGATGCAGCATCAGCTAATTTATAGAACAACTGAGAAGGTGACAATAGGAAATCTTCTGGAGTGATGATCATGTTCCAGATCTTGATAAGGGTTGAGGTTACACCGGTGAATGCTTTTGTCATGACTCAGTGACTATTACCTAAGATTTGTGCAATGCATTGTGCCTACGTTTTTAGAAACAAAAAATAAATATTGAACTCCAGTTAATGATACTCAGGCTGAAGTGGTTAAGAGGAAATAGACTGTGGTAAACCCTTGACATGCGGAAAGTAGACTGGATAGAATAGGTAGCTGGGTGGGTGTACGTATGCTAAAGCAAGGATGGTAAAATCTAGGTTGGTGTGTCCATGTGTTTATTACAAGATGTTCAACTGTGCTTAATGTTGGAGATTTTTTTCCTAGTGAAATGTTCCAGAGATAGGCAGGAATCTACTGTTCCATTTTAAAAAATGACAACAGTTTTTATTTCTTGACCAACAATAAGCTATAATTTTATAGAAACTCAATCCTGTATTTGATCACCTCACTGAGGCATTGTGGTGTCTCCCTGCAGGGAGAGTCCTTCTGCTGGTGTGGACACCTGCGCCTTCCTGTCCACGTTCGCCGGCTCCAGCAGGACCCTGCTGATTGACGGCCGGGTAGAGCTCAGAAGGGGCCTACAGAGGCAGGAGCGGCACCTCTTTTTGTTCAATGATCTGTTCGTTGTGGCCAAAATCAAGTAAGTATACTGTGCGCTCTTGTTATATAGTGTTGCATTTTCACTGGCAAAGGCAACCTTTCTACCCATGCTTAGCTATTTCTATAGCTAATATCTCAAGTGATGGTATGTTTGTTTTGGTGTTTTAAAAGTGCTTCCTTTGTTTATTCATTCAACAAAGTGTTCATTTCTTCCCGCTCTGTACCATGCCTGGAATAAATGTAGGGGATACAGTGGAGAACAGGTCACCTACAGTCCCTCCTTCCTTGGAGCTTGTGTTCTAATGCGTGTGGGAAAATTACAGACTCTGAATAGTCTGTAAGGAACGTAGGGCCAGGGGAGCAGGTATTTTAATAAATCCAGTCCCCTCAAAGAGAATTTTAGTTGCTAGAGAATAGTAACACTTTTTCTGCTCTCTGTACTCTCACACCTGAATTATGCCCTGTCATAAATAAGACATGGGGTGGCCAAGTACTGATATTGCAGACACTTATTAATGAGTGGATTAATAACAATGGCAACCTGACATTTATGGGGATCTTAGCATATGTTAGACATTATTCAAAGACTTTAACTTTTGTAACTATAGATCAGGTCAACATTATTTTCCTCCTTGTGCAGAATAAATGATGCTCAGAGATGTGCAGTGAGTTTTCTCACCACAAGTTCAGACATTGCCTCTTAGGTCCATCTTATTCCAGAGTCTGTGCTTTCAACCAGTATGCGGTCTCTGTCTCTGTTAATGACCCGTTTTCTTACAGACTTCATAGAAGAATCTTTGGCCATTTAGTTCAGATTTTTTTTAACCAACTAAATCAGTCTTTTGCGATGAGTAAAAGGATCTGACTGAATACTCCTATAGTAAGAAAGGGTATTGATGCTTAGTGAACTGGTCATATATTTCTTAAAAATTAGAGGCATAGATAAAACTCTTTCTTAACATGCTGGGGGTTTCCTTTAGGAAAACGTCTATTTACTTTCCGGTAAGTATACACATGAGGTTGGCGCTCTCAACGCATTTTTTAGCGCCCAGCATGGTGCCGTTCACGCCCACGCATGGTGCTCTAGGTTGCTCATCCTTCCTAAGGGAAGCTTCACGCTCACCCCCCAACACATACGTCTCGCCCCCTCTCCCGGCCCCCTGCTCTGGCTCTATGTGTTGGGCTGCGCTGGACGCCTGACAGAAATGGGGCTGTGGAGCATTTGTCCTTCCATGGCTGGTTTCTTTCATTTAGCACAGTGTCCTCCAGGTTCACCTCTGTTTTCACTTACCACAGGATTTCCTCCTTTTATCCGACAGACTAAAGCTGCATTGTGTGTGTTTGCCACATTTTCAGCAGTGCCTTGGTCTTTGTCTCAGGGGTCTTGGCACTTTATTGATCTAGGATGAGAATCCTTGGGGTGACTGTTTCCCAGGTCAGTCCGTATGTAGTATCTGACCTGGTGTCCGAAATATCTACTAGAGAGAGGGCTACAGCAGACAACACAAAATGTGTGAGAACAGATCTGGAAACATATCTTTCCTCCTAAGAGATTTCTTGTTTCCATTTTTTTTTAAAGATTTATTTATGCATACAGGAGCTGGGGTACAGGCCAGAGATGTGGGGAGGGTGAGAGGATTCACCAGAGACAGAGCGGGGAACAGAACAGGCAGACTGACTGAAATACACTGCTGAGGGGAGCAGCGGGCAAAACAGGAGAGGTCTGCTGTGCCATGTGGGTATCTCCCTGGCTGGGGATCATACTCGGCTGCAGTGGCTGCGGATAGCTTCATAGCGCTGTGTCTTAACCACTTATGCCACCAGGGAGGCCCCTTGTTTCCGTTTTGTATCACCTGAATATTGCTGAAGATAGTTGCCTTCATGAAATAAGACTTTATCTCTAATTAAAATGTTTCATTAAAAAAAAAAAAAATCTCAAGATTCACAGCCAGAGGGTGAAAGTCTGGAGATGAACTGCAGACAACGCCCCAAGTCTCAGGCCCTTCTCACTGGCATCAGAAAACCCTCGGGGAGTGCGTGGGTCTTCCCCTCATGCTGGCCCTGCTGTCTTTGTGCAGGTGTTTTAAGGGGCACTTCCCCAGGAAGTATCTTTGATTTCATTTTAGCTTTTTGTGCCTCCACAGAGAGTTCTGCATGACAGGAACTCCTGGGCTATTGGGTATTCTCTTTTTCCCAGATCCCTAACATTTAAGTATCAGGTCCTTTATAAGCATTAAATCTGTGAATTAGGTGAAAAGGTTAGATAGTTTCGGTATCAGTGTTCTGGGGAGTCACAGAAATTGCCAAAAAAAGCAATTTCAGCAGATAACCTTCCGATTGCCCAGAGATGAATATAAATTTATTAGCTTTAATTGTTCCTAACCTCTTTTTCCCCCCTGAGTTTAGGGTCTATCTTTTGGCTACAGCTTGTTTTAGCCAGAATACAAGGGAAGAGGATGTGAACAAAATTTTAAGAAATTTAAACAACCTTTACTTCTAAAGACCAAAAACTCTTATAATCACTTAGTTGGAAGGCATAGTAAATTCCCTTAATGCCAGGTTATATTTTTTAGTGTATCTCTCTCTAGCAAGATGAGTATTTATTTTATTTTTTTTTATTTTTATATTCCCCATACAATTGCACCCCCCCTTATTTTGACCCCAATTCCTCCTTTCCCCACCCTCCCCCATAGTTTATCTCTGATTTATAGTTGTTTGGTATTTTTCTTTTTCTTTCTGGCTTGTTTCACTGAGCATGATCCCTTCCAGCTCCATCCATGTTGCCGCAAATGGCATGTGTTTATCTTTTTTGATTGCTGAGTAATACTCCATGGTGTATATGTACCACATCTTCTTGATCCAGTCATCCATTTTTAAATGTTATCATTAAAAATGTATACTTTAAATCTTTTGTTCAAATGCTCAAATCTTTTGGAAAGTAAACAAATCACAAGTATTGAAGGAATCAATTTTTGGTAACAGCCATAAATTTAAAATTAAAGTTTTGATTTGAATATGATGTTCAACATACAGAAAAACAGTCCATGTGTGGCTGTTTGCTGCCGTAAATACAAGTGCAGGACTGATCCATCAAACATTTCAAAGACCTCTTCGGGCCAGGGTAGCTAGACAAAATTCACAAGTCAGATGATCTTTGTCTGGGATTACTGGAAACTTTCCTCTTACCACAAACGTAGACATTCCCATAGTATTTAAGAAGCGAAATAACAGGAAATCCGGTTTGATTTTTATCTTTTCTAGGTATAACAACAACTTTAAGATAAAAAATAAAATTAAATTAAGTGACATGTGGACAGCGAGCTGTGTGGACGAAGTAGGAGAAGGCAACACCAATGCCCTGAAGTCCTTTGTCCTGGGCTGGCCCACGGTCAACTTCGTGGCTACTTTCAGGTAAGAGCCACAGCTCGTCCTGTGGTCAGCTGCTGTGACAGGCCCTCAGCACTGTCATGTCCAGGATGAAGAGAAGGAAAGCGAATCAAATTTTGTTCTTCTAGTTTTTTCAAAGAAAACGATTTTATTCTAATCGTGCATTCATTCAGTAACTTACCATTTGCCACACCCCCAGTGAAGGCACTTAGATGCCTTCTGTTGATTGGAAGCTACAAACAGTGATGATGCCCTTAATGGGAGCAGGAAATGGTAAATACTGAGAACTCCTGGGATTGTTTATCTGGGCTTGATCAGTGTCTTTAAGTGGACTTGGACTTTGAGAGAGCAATAAACTGGGCAGAGCTCTAGGACTCTCCTCCAGTGTCCCCTTCCTAACCTTCGGGTACTGTTTTACACACCGAGCTTTCGAGTTGGTCCTTTCAAACCATAGAAATAGACCGTCGCTCAACCAAATTTTAAGAGATAGTTCAGTAAAGTTTAAATGACTTGTTTATACACCCACATTCTCTAAAGAAATAGTTTTTAATTATAGAAATAAAATTAATGTCATGAAATATGGGTATCCTGGTCTGTACATGAGGTGCTGAGTTGATAGCTTTAGAGATGTGACAATCAAAACGGATGTAAGATTCAAGGAATCAAAGTATTTCCAAGACTCACTCTTAAGCTGGGATGAGGCTGGAGAATGCGTAAGTACAAAATATTTGTACTCTTACCCTAAACACACTAAACTGGCATGTTTTGGTTCACGGTGAACACACCAAAACTTACACCTGTGACTTTGAAACAGTTGTCCTCTGTGTCCAGCATGTGTCGCAGTTGAGAACTGTGGCTCCTCATATGCGTGCAGAGCTTCCTTTTCCACTTCTTTTTTCCCTGCTACCACCAGATTTTCAGGCATCATTCTAAAGCCTGATAACTAGAATTTTCCAAGTTGCTAATCTTACAGTAAAGGCAAGGCATGTCATTATATCCTACTGCAAGATTTTTAAGAACTGACTTGGGAGAGACATGTATTTGTCTCACTCTCTCCATATTGTCTTTCCCATGGCAGGTTTCTGTCGATGTTATCATTTCTTACTGCCCCATCTCCTTGAAGTTACAGGCAGAAGGAAATGATTTCCAGGAAAGGGTGGGAATGCATGACATCTTCAATCAAGGAGTTTTCATGGAACATTTTTTAAGAGGGGAAAATATGGAATAAGTTTAACATTGTGTTGCTCAAAAAGTATATACTGTTTTAGCCAAATGACCAAGACTAACATCATTTGTGTGATGTCGTGTGTATGTCATATACACCTTAAAGTACTGTGATGGAATGAGCAACTCACTTGTGTGGACATCCTCCCAAAATCCATAATCCTAATCTAACCCTGAGATAAACATCAGACAGGCTCAAGCTGAGAGACAGACTGTGAGGTCACCTGAGCAGGCATCCTCAAGACTGCCAAGGTCAAAAGAAAAAAAAAACAGAAGTCATAGAAACTCTCATAGACTAGTACCAAAGAAACAGGATGGCTAAATCCACTGTGGTATCCAGAATACAAGCTAACTTTCTTGACATATGAAGAACCAGAGAACTTTCTAGCAGCTCTTGGTACTGTGCTGCGTTTCTAAAAAGAAAAGCCAATTTAAATGAATGAAAAGATAATCTCACCATAAAGACAGAGAATAGGAAAAAGAACCAGATGAATATTCTAGAAGTGGAAACTACATTTTCAAAGTCCCCACTGTGGCCTTTGTTGCAAAATGGAAGTTAAAGAGGAAAGAGTCAGTGAACTTGAAGATAAATCAATGCAAATTGTCCAATCTGAAGAACAGAGAAAAATAAAGATTTTGTGATGAAAAATACATCTGAGATTTGTTGGAAAGTACCAAAAGGGTATAGCATACTTCCATGTAGAATTCCAGAAAGACTGGAGAGAGGGAATGGACCAAATTAAATATTTGAAGACATTATGGATGAAAACCTACTAAATTTGGTGAAAGACATAAATGGGCATATTCATAAGCTCAGGGAACCACAAAAGGAGTCTGCAGAAAACTATGCCTAGTCACGTTACAAGCCGCTATGAACTGAAGATGAGAAAGATGCAGACCCAGCACGTCACGTGGAGATCAGTGATTCCCTCTTTGGGCTCACCTTCAGAAATCGGGGGGTCAGAGACAGCAGGGTGTTATCTTTCAACCTGGAATACTACCCTCTGCAGAGATATTCTTTAACAATGAAGGTGAAATAATGATGTTTTTTTCTCCTAAAATGTAAGCATTTATTGCCAGCAGACCTGTACTACAAGAAAAAAATGCTGATGGAAGTTTTTCAACCTGAAGTGAAATAATACCAGAGGGAAACGGGAAACTTGAAATGAGTGAGTGTGTGTGTGTGTGTGTGTGTGTATTAAGAAAATCTAGACCATAACCAATGTCACTGGGCCAACAAGTGAAGAAGCTGCCTCTCCTAATATCAATAAAGAAACCAGAAAGTAGAGTCTAATAGCTTTGGATTCTAAGACTAACCAACAGTGGTCAGCTCTGGGGAATCCCCTCCCTGATGCGTCAGAACTGGGGACGGAACAAACCACGAATGTGAACTTTCCACTCTTGACCTTGGGAAGAGGCAAAAGATCATCACATCTCAAAAAAGGCCAAAAGGAACCTCATATCTCCATCACCACCTGTACTCCTGTTCACAAACCTTGGATCTATAGCTGCCTCGAGTTTGAAGACTACAGCAGAGGGAAATGAGAACACCATTCAAAAGACAGCAAGTGTGTAGACCTGACGACAATCGATGACAAAAGGAAAAGAACGATATTAACTGAAGCCCCTCGAATGAAACTTAGTCTTCAGGTATTCGAGAAAATACTACCAAGCTAAAATCCACCTTGAGCCCTCATTTTGCCAGCCTGGTAGAGACTCAAATGGTCTTTTTTTTTTTTAAGATTTATTTATTTATACAAGAACCCGGGTACAGGCCAGAATTGCAGGAGGGTAAGAGGATTCACCAGAGACAGAGTGGGGAACAGAACAGGCTGAGGGGAGCAGCGGGTGAGACAGGAGAGGTCTGCTGCGCCATGTGAGTATCTCCCTGGCCGGCCGGGAATTGAACCCACGCTGCAGAGGCTGCAGACAGCTTCACAGCGCGGCTCTCAACCCGCCCCACCACCAGGGAGGCCCTTCAAATGGTCTTCTGTACTGGAACACTTGTATTCTAGAGTAGAACCAGGATACAGGAGACAAGCCTCTGACCTTCAGCCTGTTGCAAACACGCTGACATGTTTTTTCTACCCCAAGTTATCCCCTAATGTCCAGAGGTACCCGAGTCCTGCCCTGGTGGGACACAGGTCTTTGCTGATAGAAAATCCTGGGTCCCCAGGAAAGACTTACCCTGGTCCCTCCTTACAGCCATTTCATCTGGGTACTGTTTGCTGAGGCGCCTCCAACAGTGCTGTTTGATTCCTCCCTCACTCTTAAGGATGACAGACTCTGTCTCCTGCCAGAAATGAGGGAACCTCTCAATCTGCTGTTCCCTTTTCCTTTCTGCAACACACACTGCTTTCTCCTCCCCTGACTCTTACCAGATGAGCTTACATGTTTATGAAATTCTGAGATAACCTTGACTTTGGAGTACTTCTAGTTTTAGTTCTTTAAAAATGCCCGAGATAAGAATAACTCAGGAAAGAGAAGTCTGGGGTTCTTGCACAGAGCAGGAGAAAAGGGGGAAACACAGGCTCTCGTTTTTAAATTTTATCTCGTGACATTAACCTGACACGTTTCGCGATTTGTCTTTAATGTGTGCCGAATATTCAGTGAACTCTGCACAGCAGCAAGAGTGGACGAACCCAGACCACCTGCGATAATACAATCACAGCCACAAATTTAATTTTGGATGAAAGCAGCCGGGCATAAACTAGTACCCACCGCCCGGTTACATTTATATCAAGTAGCAAACCAGAAAACTAGTGCATGAGAAGTGGTTGCTGGCGCCTGCCAAGGGGGACAGGAGACCACCCGGGCGGCCTTCCGGGTCCAAGCCTGGTGCTGGTCAGGCGGGTGGGTTTAGCTATGAAGATTCTTCAGGCTTTACACTTAAACACTGGGCAGTTTTCTCTATGTATCTTATATGTCAGTAACAAATTGTGACTTAAAAATAATGTTATTTATGGAATATAGAGAAACAAAAGATCAGACAAACCAAACCAGTAACAAAACTGAGACATCTGACTATGGGATTGGGGCTGTAAGATGGGGAGGGGGGCAGTGGGGGGCCACAGTGGACTGTGGTGGAGGCTGAAGTTGCCTTGGGGTGGATGTGGGGAGCTGCCGCTGAGGAGCTGGGGTCCTGAGGCTTTGAGTCACATAGGGTGTTGTAAACCCCTATTACCACAATACCTAATAAAAAAGAGGTGTTTTTTATAAGGGTATTTTTATTTAACAGATTTGAAAATAGTCTTAAAGAAAATTCATCAAGTTTTAGCATAGATTTTTGCTAAGTAAATCTGAGACTTGACATAGATGAACCTAGAAAATCTTCTGTTTGAGGGAATAAATAGGTCAGGAGATCATAAGAAATTGTGAAAGATGAAAATTGGACCATCACTTTCTGATGACCAGTCCTGGAGATGACTTAAGGAGAAAGTTGCTAAGCAACAGGATTAGGAAAAAACTACAAATACTTCATAAGTGCATTTTTCTGGAATAAGAAAATAAGGCTTCCAACATCTCGATGACTAAAAATAAGATCTTTAAAACTAGTAAGATCAAGACCATGTAAAAATACACCTTAAATTTTTATAATGCCTAAGAATTAAATGTACTAGGGGCTTCAGGAAAAAACATTAGTAGCACTTTAAGTAGTTGCCTCTTAATGAGAAGATTATCATACGTTTCCTATGAAGAAATTGGCTAAATTGCAATTCTTTTGTGAGTATAAAAATTTTTCATAATGAACTGATTTCTGGACCAGGATATTTCCAACTGCATGCCAGATTTCTCTTTTATCCCTTAGTCTCCAATTAATTATGCCTTGGCTGGCTGGCCCGCGGCCATAGGAAGCCACTTTTGCAGATGGGGACACTCAGGGGTAGCGCTGCTCAGGGGTGGACCCAGGTATCGCTGTCACGTGGTTTTGAGGCCACGAGTTTGGATTCTGCACCAAGTGCCTGTTCCCCTGTCAGAGCTCCCTCCCCCTGGGATAATCCTCCTGAAAGAGCAGAAAATGTAGTAGATCTAGCCAAGGGGTGTTGTTTTTCCCAGAGGGACTTCACTGCAGCAACCGCTGGGACGCGCTCAGGCCGGGGCAGCACCCTGGGCCGCACTGGCGGGCCCTCCACTGGCTCTGCGATCTCAGCTACCTCGCTGTCAGTATTCGATGCCGTTTAATGTTTCTCTCCCGCTTCCTTTGATTGCAGTTCTCCAGAACAAAAGGACAAATGGCTCTCTCTCCTTCAGAGGTATTTTTTTCATGCTTTGTAATGATACTCACGTATTTTTAACCTCTGTCCCTTTTCCATGGTAGAAATTGTTTGTTTGTCATTATTCACCAAATTGGTGAATCTCATCTCCTTGAGTGTGTCCAACCTTCTGCTTGGAGCTAATAGTTTCCTCAAAGCATGGGTTAAGTTGCCATTTGTGGAGGCTTTCCTGCTGAGCCCCTCAAAAGTCAAGCACCCCTGCCTTTGAGCATGCAAACTATACGTGGATCACTGGGCTTCATGTCCTAGACCTACAGCCCTGTCCTTCCTCCCACTCCCGCCCCAGCCTACGGGAGAACCAAGACTTGCACCTGGGAAGTAAAAGGCCTTTGTTCTGGGGGTCCAGCAGAGCATCGCGTGTCCTCCTGCTCTCAGCAGTGAGGTGCTGGTCCTCCCCGGAGGAAGCAGGGGGGCTTCCAGAACAAGCTCCCTGTGTGTGCTCTCAGGCCTCACACCAGAAGGGCCCGCCGTGCTCCTGGGCCCGTGTCTGTGTCCCGAGGATTTTTACTTAATTCTTTTCCAACCTGTAATGTAATCCGGCCCAGCTGAGTCTGTCCATCTGTTTATTATTATTATTATTATTATTATTTTTACTATTATTACTATTATTATTTTTAAATAGCCTGTAAGTATATTGAAGATATTTGCACACTAGAATCAGTAGTAAACCATTGAACTAACAAGTGGCCGCGGTATTTGCACAGTAGATTCAGTAGTATAACAAGCGGCCACGGAACCGTCTGACTCAGTGTTGTTCTGCGTTGTTCACCCGTCAGATACATCCACCTAGAGAAAGAGAAGGACTACCCGAAGAGCATTCCCCTCAAAATCTTCGCCAAGGACATTGGGAATTGTGCCTATGTAAGTGTTCCTCAGCCAGACAATTACATCCCAAGCCCCTGCGTAAGAATAAAGAGACACACGAGGCGGGCAGTGTGCCGTCTGGGGACGGGAGGCATTTAGTGTGTTTGTGGGAGAAATGGGCTGTCCTGGGTGTGTGTCTGTCTCTGTGTATGTGCAAAGTGACACTTAGAAGCAAGGGGAATTCCTATTAACTACAGTGTTTAATGTTACTTTGCCAGAGGCCTCTGCACTCCCTCGGGCTCAGGGCTCCTCTAGTCCTGCCTGCAGGAAGCAGGTCTCCCCGCGGGGCACTGGGAAAGTGGAGAGCGGATTCTGGACTGTTGATCGTCCTTTGAGTCTTTGGGGATTGAATCCCTTCGGTTAGCTAGGAGAGGAGATGCTTCCAAGGGGTGGGCGTGTCTCTCCCTCACAATACAAAGTCAGCCTTCAGCCCTAGTTACTAGGTGGGATTTGATGTCGGGATCCCAGGGCAGGCGCTGAGCTGTCATGGGAGAGAAATAGGAGGGAAGGTTAGAGACGCGCCCGCAGGGCACCTGGGCCCCACAGAGCAGCCCTGTCTAGAAACATGTCATAAAAACCAGTTACGTTTTGGGCAAAAGTAGAAATTATGCAGATGTGCAGACAGGGGTGCAGATGTCCATGCTTGAGGTAAATACTCAAATTTTTATGGAATGAGACGACAGAGATGGCCAGTAGCAAAGGAGAAAACCAAAACCCCCATCACCATCAGTCGGCCAGCTTCGGTTCAGTGGTGGCAGCTGGTTCCATTCAGAATTTTCATGGAAAATCCCTTCAATTTATTTAATGTGTTATTTTCAGCGTGTGGACAGCGCTTGCTTGAGAAGGGACCCATGGCCTGCTCTGATTTTGGAAGGCCAGCGTGTGGTCAGACTGGGTGCGTGGTTCTCATCACCAGCACCTGGCTCCCTCCAGGGGGCCAGACTCGCCATCCTGTGGTGAGGGAGCCGCTTTCTGAGTCCCCCCAAGTCTCCTTTGAGGGAGACCTGCTTCCAGAGAAAGTGCTGTCCCCCAGTTAGCGGTGCACGTAGGAGAAGCATGCACCCCCTTGGCCTTTGGGGGTACACAGCCTGACAGCCTGTGGAAAATAACCCCCTTTTCCGTTTTGTCTGTGGAATTGTTTACTAGCCAAGGAGCACTATCTGCTGAAATTCATTTGTTTTGTTTACCAGAGAGGCATGCAGGGAAAAACACACATCCTATAATTACTGTTTTGAATGTATGGGCCTACTGTTAAGAAAAATCATTATCTTAGGAGGTGCATGGGGAGTGATTATTAGTGTTACAAGATAGACTATTCTCTTTGCAAAGACTTCATGAGCGAGTTTCTTTAAAATAAATGAAGGGTTTTCCACTTAAAAAATGAAGGGGAAAAAATAAACATCCAGAAACCTTTCATGAAATTACATCTCAAGTACAGCTCTGCCACTCTGATAGAAGACAAACTCTGTTAGGTGCTCTGACCCCTCCTTGCTAGGTTTTGAGGCAACTTTGCATAATTTTTGGAGTTGCAAAGAGCACGGCTTGAAATTAATAACCTTCAGGGGCAATTTGTCATGTCAAATAATTGGCTTGTAGAGAAAAATGGAAGAATCTAGATGGAAGGATACATGATGAACAGTCAGTGGATTTCACTTAGCTTTGTTTTTATGGCATGTTTGTGTTTATATCATTTTGTTTCTATTGATACTACCTATTGGTCATTTCAGCCCCAGCAGAACTGATTTCTCTAATAATTATACTATGTATGACCTATGAGCATAGTAAGTGGTTTTTTGGGGTTTTTGTGTGTGTGTGTGTGTGTTTGTGTTTTGTTTTTTGTTGGTTGGTTTTTTTGGTTTTTTTTTTGTTTGTTTGTTTTTGTTTTTTTTTTTGTAGCACAGCATTGCCTGGTAGTTAGACAAGGTCTTGGAAGTCATTGAAGCCATGGGCATCTGTATCTTGCTGATCCTTTTCCTGGTTGTTGTGAAGTGTCTGTTTTTAAGTGGTGATTCCTCAGAGTGGTTTAGCGCAGAGCTGTTGTGGAGACCTTCTTCAGAGGCAGAGCTGGTAACAGAACCATGCTTTCTGGAATTGTCTGTCCTGTTTATTAGACTCACTGGCTCACAGGCCTTTAAAGATTCCAACTGCGCCAACCTCATTAGCCACAGTGCCCAGCCTGTGGAAAGTACTCAAGAAATAGTGGGTTTTAGAAATTCTAAAGTTTAACTTCTTTCTGCTTTTACCTGTCCTGACATTTTGCCATGCAGAGAAACAGAAACCCACACTGTGGAAACCGTCCCCAAGCCAGCACTTGCCCTGGGTCACTGCAGAGGGCAGTCGACATCCTCACTCAAAACATAGTTATTCTTTTCTTGCTTAATATCTTATATCTTGTGAGCACATATTCTTTAAGGGAAGTAGATGTTTTACTAAAAGATATAATATATAATGGGAAGAAAGTAATTTACAGTCGGGTTTATGTTCTAAGATCACATGCTTTGCTCTGTCAACACTTGAAACCAAGATTTGCCTTTGGAAAATCATTTGACAATAATTTTGTGTTCACCTATTTTAAAGTCCATATTTATAGTTGTATTTCTTTTTTTCCCTACAGTCTAAAACTATAACAGTAACGAATTCAGATACAGTGAATGAAGTTATCAACATGTCACTACCAATGCTGGGGATAACTGTAAGTATTGTGCTTGATACTTTCTATTAAAAACAACCATTGATACTTTAGAGTCCTGTAAATATCATCATTCCCATCCTGAGATAGTGGATTACTAGAGATACCAAAGTCATCGTTTATCTCCCAAAATAAGGACAATAAGGCGCGAAGATTAACTAATACTAGGTGCTATTTTTCTATTCCTATTTTAAAACCTGTGTGAACTAAAGATTAAACTATAATTTTACACTCCGCCCTGTGAGATGACTACCTCCATGCACTGGAGGAGTGAAGTTCAGGAGGATGTTCTAGAGGATGCACCTGAGCACCAGTTCTGGAGGGGAGAGTCTTCAATAAGAAAACACTGTTGTTCTGGGGTGTAACTTGACATGTGTTAAGCTGTAGCATTTGCTTGTTAGTTGGCTTGAGATCCACTCACATATAGTCCTATAGTAACTAAGAACTCAGGGCAACCAAAATTTAGCATAAGAAATCTAATTTATAAAATTTAATAATATAGGACGTAATTGAATTTTTATGCACAGGGTACAGCAGGCATCTGTGTTGATTTCTAAGCTCATATGAGTATATCCTAGAGGAACAGTGTAGAGGGAAGAAGAGGAAATTAATTGACATGACTCATTTTCTTAGGCTATTCCTTTGGATAAAGTGATCCCTCTCCTCAGATATTATTACAAATACTTCTATTAATTTGAAATATCTTGAATATTTCTATTCAATGTAATTAGAAAAAGAGACTGATGATTGGTGTTCTAAGAGAAAAGTGTTTTATTACATTGTTTTCAGACACTACAAAAAAAGGATTTTCATTAAATTGTTCTTCCTAATTGCAATAAAAGTTTCCAGGGAAGGGATGAGGAAGGAAATCACAAACCGAATGGGGAGGGAGTGGAATTCTCCACAGCCAGTACCCTCCGTTATAAGGTTAGCAGCATGATTTTTAATGAAAAAACAAAGGCCGGAATGTTAAATATTACCAATCTGTTCTAGCTTTATTTACAGTTGTTTTTGCTCTGTCCTCTCCTATAAGTTACAGCAACATCTGCTTAACTGTTAGTTCTTTAAAATAGAATTTCTAGTGTTACTGGGTTATAATTCTACTCGTGAACCACTCCATTGTTTTGCATGACTGGGCCTTGTCTCTAGGCAGAACTGGTCTTGCCCCAAGTAAAGCTAATGTCGACTGCGCCAGCCACCTGTGTCCTCAAAGGCTCGCTCGTTCTCTGTTCATTAGGAAGGAGCTGAGCTACTGATCAGCCTTTGAGCTCTTACTCTCTGATGGCAGTGTGAGGGACTTTGTGGGTAACAAGGTTGTCTTTGCAGGGGGATGTTGGAGATTCAGCCCCATATTCTGAGAATTCTAGAGACATAGCAGAAGTTGGGACTCTAAAGAAGAAAACCAGAAAGTCTTTTTTCCTTTGTAAAGTGCTTAAGTATGAATCTTGGATAGGATTTTGGGGACTATCCATATAGTGGGGTGCTGATTCCCTTGCACTGCCTGGAGCCCTGTTCTCCACCAGGAGGAAGGGCAGGACTCCTGAGTCCTCTGTCAGGGACTGGAGAGAGGGAAGTGGGTTGGAGGGATTAGGGCTGCATCTTCAAACCTATAACCAACCCCATAACCTGAATCACATTGATATTGTTCCCCTTTTTCATTTTTTTCCAAAACAAAGTACCCCACAGCTATCCTCATTCAATTACCAAACATGAAAGTTGATTCTTTTCTCTCCAAGGGCTCTGAGCGAGATTACCAATTATGGGTCAATTCTGGCAAAGAAGAGGCACCATACCCACTTATTGGTAAGTGTTTGCAAAACGGGAAGATTGCATTGTGTGGAGTTCTAAATGTCTCCAAGAACTGGTCATATGCACCTAAGCTCAAATATTAAATGAATATTTCGAGCACCAAGCATTTCCTGTGTGCTAATCACTCAATGGTAGAGTTGGGAAGAGAAACGTAATTTTTTTTTTTTTTAGTTTACAAACAGAACTATCTTGTCAAACCTTTTTTAAAGTGTTTTCTGGAAGAAAGCACTATGTACTGGTCTTCCTTTCCCCCTCTATATTTGTATTTTTTGCATTTCATGTTCAGTCCTTGAGTTCCTGTTCCCTTCGCTACTGGCTGTGCTGCCTCTGTGGGCGGCACTGGGAATCCCGGGGTGACCCTTGGTCTCCCAGTGAGTGTGTAACACCTGCCCTGGGCCCCAGACATTTTTAGGCATCATACAGAAAATGAAATGAGCTCACTTAGATGCCTAAAACTCTTGACTTAGCAAAGTAAGGTAGTGAAGTGGCAGCTACTATCTCTCTAGCCAAATTTTCCAGCATTTCTTTTGCGACATTACTGGTGAGCATTACCTTATTTAAGTCGGATGATTTAAAAAAAAACAAAAAACAAACAGTAAGGTTCAAAGTATTAGAGACAGCTATAGAAGTTCAGTTAACAGAAAGTGATGAAAAGTCATGAATGTTTTCAGACGGACATCTTGTATTCAGTAGTAGTCATACTTGAAAGGCAGTTTGTTACCCATTTATTTTAAATACTGTTAACCACGAAGGTTTACTTACAGGATCTTTATCATTAGGTGTGATAATCTTATGGTGTGATACGTAGGGTAAATAGTTAAATCATGAATTTGAAGCTGAGAGGTCAAGGATTTGCTGAGCTTCACAGTTTGTTTCAAAGGAGATGCCAGAGTATCTTTGACTATCCTCAGAGGCAGAGAGAGGTGAAGTCGGCACTGCTGTGTCCCCTGTAAGATAGTCTTTAAAGACTTCTTTCTCTTTGCTTTTCCCCTCCTGCTTGCCACGGGCGAGGCACCTGCGCTGAAAGTGCATTCGTGGTAGTCAGTCAGCTGGAGGACTTTTCATCGGGAAGCCGCAGGGGCCCCACACATGGCACGCGGTCCGAGTACCCGCCAGCCTGAGGTCTACCTTGGCTCTTTCTCCTCGCAGGGCACGAATATCCCTACGGAATCAAGATGAGTCACCTCCGCGACACAGCGCTCCTGGCCCCGGGGCCCAAGGACTCAGCCTCACCTGCCAACCTGCAGGAGCCCTTCCTCATGGAGCAGCTGCCCCGCGAGATGCAGTGCCAGTTCATCCTGAAGCCCAGCCGCCTGGCTGCAGCCCAGCCCCTGAGCGGTGAGTGGCCTCCTCTCAGGCCTTCGTCAACAAGCGTGTTCATTCCTGCAAACAGGACAGTGGCTGAGCCCCACACTTGCAGCCAGGGAAGGGATTTTTCTCTTTTGAATGTGTTTTGAAAGGGAAGATGGACTCACAGAAGGTAGTTTTAGGAAGCAGCAGTTGGTAGCAGTACATCTGCTCCTCTTTCCTTTACTGTCCCTTCCCCTTTAACCTCGCGCCCACTGTGGGCAGGTGAACGTGGTGGCAGGAGGCCGGGCTGGCCAGGCTGCTCCTGGTGCTCCTGGAGGGCGCAGACGCTTTCCACAGGAGTCACTCCTCATGCCTGTGAACATAGCTATCTCTCACCCACCCCACAGGGAGAACCTCAGAGAGTGATGTTCACTAGAGGAGGGACCGCCATTTACCTCACCTGAGTATGCTTTAAGCCCCTTAGTCTGAAAGTCAGTCGTGTCTGAAAGAGAAGAAAAAGACAGCAACAGTGGGTGGGGGTAGCAGCACATCGATGCTGCATCTTCGCAGCTGCCACTGTTCATATGGACCAATGGGCGGTGGCAGCTGTTTTACAAGCATCCCCCCACCAGTACTTATGCGACCACCCCAGGATGTGCTGTGGCTGTCCTGGCCTCAGACTTTGTTTACTGAAGGTCTGGAGCGCCCACATCTCACCTTCACCAGCTGTGGAAGCAGCTCTGGTCTCCCTGGTCTGCTTCTCTCTTGTAACAGTAAACTGAGGTTTGGGACTGTCGCAGGCTGTTCTTTCACACCTTTGAGCCTTTTAGGAAGCAGTATTTTAGAGCTGTCGGAGTTTTCTGTCCACTAAAATGTGAGTTCCCTGAAGGCAGAGGCTGAGGTCTGTCTTGTTCACTCCTGTATTCCCAGCGTCTGGCATCCACCAGTGCCAAATAGCGGTCGAATGAATGTATCAGTACATCATCATAGGCTCATTAAAGACACAAGGGAACTTGTCCTTTACAACCAAGAGTAATACCTCCCTCTTCTGCTCTCTGTGTTCCTTGATCATTTTGTTTTCATTAATTAGAGCAGTAAGCAGGGTGAGAATGCTAAGGGTCTTACCCACTGTTGTCAGGGCGTTGCCTCCGTAACTTGGAGGCTGCCTGGGAGCTGTTCCTAGTCTCTCCCTGGCGGCCGTCATGCTGCAGGTGACCCGGGCGCCTGAGCTGGCGGCGTGATCACCTGTGCGCCTAAAACATCACAGAGACCCAGTTTCTGGATGTGTGTTAACACAGGAAGCTTTGATGAACAGCTGCTTTGGAAACCTCTGATGTAGATCAGGGACAGCAAACTTTTTTCTGCGAAAGACCACATGGTAAAATCACAGAGTGACAGAAAAATGTCTACAATTTTTTACTGAGTGTATTATTTTATCTAAGACTGCTCTACTAATGGAAAGAGGTGATTCTTTGGGGGTGAGAACAGTTGGTTTATTAGAGATAATAGTCATCAATTATTCTTTAGACTTTTTTTTGACCTTTTGAAATCATGAAAACCTTTCTTAGCTCACTGGTCACCTAATGAAAGGGGCATTCCGGGTTAGGCCCAAGCGGTGTGGTTCGCTGCTCTCTAATTTAGATGACCGAAATGTCCGTTTAGTCAAAACATCGCTGCTAAAGTTTAGTCTTCTACCAAACTCACACCCGACTTCACACAAGAGCCACCTCTTCTCACCCGCAACCCCTTCCTTCCTGTTATACTTGGTGCTGTTTCCACTGGAGGTGGGGAAACCGGCGGGTCCCTAGAGGGCTGGAGGCCTGTGGGTCTAGACGCCCTGAAATTCGAGTCACGCAGGTGGGCACGCTTCAGAGCAGGTGATCTTTGCGCAGAATTTGACACTATAAAATACTTGATTTTAAGCCTCAGAACCACCCCATGAAGTGACACTGTTACCCCCTTTCACAGATAAATAGGCTCGCAGCACATTTGACAGTAAAGCCGAAACCTGAAGCTAGGCCTGCCGGCCCTGCCCTCGGTCAGCACGAACTCGCTTGCATAGAGGCTGACTGTCTTGGTGCCACCATCCCCTCCCACCCCCCACTCCTATTGCCTCTTTGTGAACATCTGAGCCAGGATTCCCTCTTTCAAGAAAATGAGTTTAGGAACAAGACTCTCTGCTCCTCCCTGCCCTTGTTTACATACCTGTCATGGAGCCGCCTGACTCCTGATAGAAGAATTTGCGTGTTTTTTCCTTTTCAGCAAACAGTATAAACACCTAAAACTTGGGTGCTCACAGTCCACCACACCCTGTTTGTGGCATCTATATTTAAAATCCACAGGACTCATACCTTCTTAAATAGCATAGTGGATCTTTTGCATGGTCTTTTATGTGGAATCTTGCTCTTCAGGTTAACAAGTGAGAGAAGATCATTTCTGTTAGCGTTTTGGCTGAGAACAATTAATATCACACTTTTAGGCCATCTGAAAATATAAACCACAACTGGAATAAATACTCTATACCTCCTCTTCTGAGGGAGGCTTCCTCTAGTCAGCCTAAGGGAGGTATCGCCGTTAACCAGAATGACCCTGGTGAGCATTGTCCTCCCCATTCTGTTCTGTTCTGAGTTTCTGCCTCAGTGTGTGGAAGATCTCCTGGTCTGGCACAAGAAGCTAGCAGTAGATGCTGAGAAGGCCGCCCCCGTGACTCGGTCACTGTCGCTCAGCCTCAGGTGTGGCTGCCCCCTGAGGCACCTCCAGTGTCAGCTGGACAGGGACAGTCTGACCTCAAGACCCACCTTGAATGTCACTTCCTGACATCGTCGTTCCTTGGCTGGCGGCTGCCCCCTTCCTTCCTCGTGCCTCTGCCACATCGTCCCTGGTCTGTGGGAATACATCAGAAATCACAGATCTGGTTTGTGTGGCCGCCCCGTCGTGTGCTGGCCGGCTTAGCCCAGCATAGACCGAGCAGAAGTTAAGCGCAAGAGCAAAGTGAAGATGGCTTCGTGGCACCCAGTAGGGGAAGCAAGGGTAGAGCAGGAGCGCGCTGGAGGTGAGATGGGGTCCTTCCGGAAGGTCTGCAGCACGGGGTTCTCGCCACCCCCTGCTTTTTCTTCTGCCTGTGTGCCCTGGGGGGAGATAAAGGGGCTTCTTAATTGGAGGTAGGGGCGGAATCTATAGCAAGAATAGAATTTCTAATTTCTTTTTTTTTCTTTTTTTTTTACTATTCTATAAGAGTAAATTTGTAATTGTCATTTTTAATATTCAGTTCCCTGAATCCAATGAGGAAACACAAACTTGAGTCTTGCCAGGATTGTTGCGGGAAGCTAGATTGGCGTGCATGTAGTTTGCTCTCCATGTACGTCACCCTTATATTTTCATAACAATAGCCCTTTTTTTTTTCCATCACCAGCCTATGAAATATAAGGGCTTTGTGTTAAAAGCTCTGCAAGAAAGTAGACTTTAATGAAATTTTTTTTTGTCTCAGTCCCAGAGGAAATGTGAACTCTAAAAATCAAGTGTTGTGCACAAATGCAAAGCGTGGCTGCAGCTGAAAATACTCACAGGATTCAATTTCTTCTTTATCCTCTGTACCTCATAGGAGGTTGTGTAGCACTTTACGGTGGCGTGTTCTTCCTAAGGGGTGTGTGGAAGCTGAAAAAGAAGCCCTATAGCTTTAGAAATAACAGAACCAAGTTAAATGCCCTACACTGAGGACAACTCCTCCACCCATGTGTACCAAGCTGGTTGGCATCCTGGGCAGCATGCACACACTGACTTCGCTGGGCGCCTGGATGCAAGAAGGGGCATCGTGTCATTTTCAATTTTTGTAAGTGGTGGCAGCTGGGAAGGTCAGGAAGGCAGGAGCACGCTCTAGCGAGGCATCATCTTGTGCAGAGTCTGGTGTCCTCACTGTCTGCCCACTCCCCCAAGGCTGTTACCCCAGCGAAGTGTGGGTATGGGGAAGAGACTGGTGTCTGGTGGCTTTGATTGAGATTGCAAAGTTGTACTTTGGAGGGTTATCCTACTTAATTCTCTTAGCGAGCCCCTGCGGGCTCAGGTGTCTGGTTCTCATTGTAAAGTAGAGGAAAGAAGTGACTTGCCCAAGTCACGGTGTGAACCGGTAGTGTGGCCGAGCCCCGACTCCAGGGCTACAGGCCTCAACTCCCGGGAGGACCACCTTCCTCCGTACTGCACTGTCAGGGTATGTCTGGTAGCCGCTACCCATCAAGAGTCTAATGATTAACTCCCCTGCTCCCTCGGGAAATGGAGCCCAACCTGCATGGGAGCCGCCGGCACCCCCACACATATCCCCACCCCCGCTCTGCCCTGCTCTTGCAGCTGTAACTGCAGCTCTCTGGAATCTGCCCCACACGAGTGTCCTTCAGGAGCCAGTTGGGGATCTGGGCAGAATTCACAGGCAATGTTCAGGGTTCTCCCAGTTCAGTTTTCTTTGTTGGGGGGTGGGGGGGTCCTTCCCCTGCTTACCTTCCAGCTGCTGTGGTTACCTTCATCTCCATTCTCTAGTTCTGCACACCAGTGACATCCAGTTTCTCTACACCGCCCCACCCTGGGGGGATTTGCCCAGGGCCATTCCCCTTGCAAGTATCAAACTTTTATCTGCAGCATCTACCCTCTTTTTGTCACTCTTTAGTATCTTCAGGCAGGTGTTCTTTTTTGTTTTTAGTTTTGCTCAGTTTATAGTTGTGGTCTGTGTGTTTTGTGGCCTTGGAGTAGAAGGGGGCTTAGTGGGGTGGTGGAAACCCAAAAGACCCTCAAATTGCTGTTTTTTGTGTCTATCACTTCTCACATTAACGAGAGATATGGGTGACATCAAGGATGTGCTATCCAGAAGTCATGACTCGCTGCTGACCTTGCTCCACCCAAACTTCTCAGCTTAATCACTGTTCTAGAATGACTTGTCAGTTCACTTTACTAAGTGTCAGGCACCATGCTGGTCGCTCCATCTGTTGAAGTTTTGCTCATTCAAACTCCAAATCAAATATAAACACCTCCAGGATCACCCCCTCCCTCCCTCCCGCTGGGGGAAGTGCTTCATCTCCTGAAGCTGCTGGTGTTTCTCTCTCCCCTTATGACACTTTATTACTATACTTGCTTTCCTCAGCACCACCACCAGCCTTGTGCCCCATTAGCTTATAGACTTCATCAAGGTAAGTGCAAGTTTCCTTCACTCCTGCCTATAAACATGCTTTTTAGAGTTGGAACTGAGGGCAGTGGAAAGGAGAGGGCAGTGGCCGTCCTAGCTCAGATCTCAGCAGCAGGGAGGCAGTCTGTTTCTCGAGAGCAGCATCCTAGAAACAGCTGCTCTTCCCAACTTTTAAAATGTGGTCTAGTTTAATCGTCAGCGGTTTTGTATGTCCAGGCCTATCTTTAAAATGGAAGAAGATAGTTGTGTGGGTGTGCATGGATCGAGATATGGTGTGAGACACTTTTCTAGTCTAAGTTGTTACAGTTCAGCTAGGGAGCCTTTTCTCTGCCTTTAAAAATCCAGGACCAAAACTCCAGTAAGCCAACCAGGGATGTCCCCAGCCCAGGGAGGATAATAACCCAAACATCTGATTCTTCCTTACCTGGTGATGGTGATTGGCTGAGTGACACAGGACAGCGACATACAGACTGTGGAATGGAAACTGCAGCACATGTAATTGGATTCAACTGGTTTTCCTGATCCTCCTGCTTCTTCCTTAGAGTCAGGCCAGAAGACATTTAAAAGGAGGCGATCCATCATAAACTGGGCCTTCTGGCGGGGCTCCAGCACCCACCTGGACAACTTGCCCATGTCACCAACGTCGCCTATGCCAGGGCAGCTCTTTGGAGTGTCTCTGCCGAGTGTTTGTGAGAACGACAATCTGCCCAAACCTGTGTTGGTAAGTCTCATGCCGGCTGCCACGCTGGCTGGAAGGCGCCTGGGGAAAGAGAGGCCCGAGCGGCAGATCTATCCCCAAACAGATCTATCCCCAAACACCCTGACTTTGGGGATCTTATCATACTTCAAAGAGTAAAAACCTGACCTAGCGATTGCCGTCATCAGGAAGACAGAACAGGACGCTCACCTAGCTCAGGCGGGAGTGACCTAAGCCTGCTGGGATCAGTCAGTTTGCGCGGCGGACAGAGAAGCCTCATCGTGTCCCTCGCGTTCCTCTCACATCTTTCTTGAACGCTGCTTTGTTGTGAGTGTCCTCTGCCGTCGCTTTAGGAGCAGAGAGAATGCAGTCTTTCTAATTTCAAGCATGTGGCTTAGAGAGACAGCCTCTGGTTTCCTCTTGGAGCAGCTTAGCTGAAAGCCACCGCCTCCCGTTTATCCGTTAAGTGACCCCCGTTCAGCACTGAGCGACCAGGCCCCGTGAGCGCCGCAGTGGCCACCGCAGTGCTTGGCCTTCCCAGCAGGCTTCACGCGCAGTGACTGCCTTGCCTACTTTCTTTTACAAATGAAAGCATAAAAAGCCTCGGGTTTGCCGACGGTCACGCAGTGGTGCACACGTGGCTGAGCTGGGGTTCAGAGCCCGTGGCGTGCGCGTCTCCGGCGCCTGTTCTCTCCCCACGCTGCAGGCAGAGGACACCCAGATAGAGAGAGGACAAATCAAAGACACCTGGGAGTGCAGTGTGTGGAGGAAGCGTCCTGGAGGAAAGACTTTCTGAGCCTCGTTTTAAGAGCTGGAAGTAAATATAGGAAGTAGAGTGGAGGAGGAAGACAGGCAGGATCTGGTGTAGCAGGATCTGTCCGTGTTGGGAGGGAACAGTCTGGACGAGAATATGGGAACCAGCAGTGAGGCTGGAGAGACGCGTTCGCAGGCCCCTTGACGTGAGCGGGGAAGTTTGATTATAAAGCGGCTGTTGGTTCACGGAGCCAAAGACAGTCTCGTGAGAGCTAATAGTTTGAAGTGCAATCTTCGAGCTAGATGTCGAGTACAGCGAGAATAAATAGGCAATAAGAGCCAGAGGACAGCGCCTTTGCTCGGTCGCACCCTCCAACCCCCCATTTGCCTGTGTGAGGTGCCATCTTGGCTTTTTCTTTTGCTTCCCCACAGGACATGCTTTTCTTTCTTAATCAAAAAGGACCCCTCACAAAGGGCATCTTCAGACAGTCTGCCAACGTGAAGTCCTGCCGCGAGCTGAAAGAGAGACTGAATTCCGGAGTGGAAGTGCACCTAGACTGTGAATCCGTTTTTGTGATCGCCTCCGTCTTAAAGGTAGGACCCGTCCTCCCTCACCCACCACAGGTGTGGCTCTGGAGAGAGGCAGCGGGTTTCTTTCATTATCTTATTATTCCCATCTGCAAAGACCCAGCATACATTTCTAACCTTAAAAAGTATTTTTAAAAAAAGTATTTAAAAAATTATTTTAAAAGAAAGTCAACATTGGACTTGGAAAGCCATGGCCAGTGACACAGCACGTCAAATAATACTTTTTAAAATGGTTTCACTCCCACACCACTGTCCTTGTTTTCACTTCTTCTGCCCCATGGGGGAAAAAAAAAAATCACAGCATGCATAGCATGTTTCCCAAAACAAGCATCCTAATTCTGAGGACTTCCTCACAACCTCACTACCTTCCTAATAAAGACAAAATTCTCACAAAGTTTTATGAAACTTGGAAACTGCAGCTTACCAGAATAAACATTTGCCTAACAGCTGAAACAAAAAATTGCATGCTGAGACCACTGAAAATTCCATTCATTTACACAATCCCCACGCCTTCCCTGCTCCCCTATGCCTGCTTAAAGTGGAGTAGGGAATGACTCCAGCATCTGGGCTCTTTTATAAAACCTTCAGCACATTTGGCTTTCTTTATGGCTCTCACCCTTCACCCATGGTTACTTAAGTCATATCTATATTGAGTTAGAGCACTTTCTAAAATGTCTCCTCCTGCATGCTTGAAAATGCCTCACATTTTTGGACAACCTAGAGTCAAAACCATCTGTTAGCAGAGCTTGGGACCCCAGCAATAGTTTCTGCAGCCCTGCCTCAGGCTCCTGTCTCCCAGCAGGGGTGCACTGCACCCGTACCCAAGCCAGGGAAAGACAAGGCCCCAGCCTTACTCCCCAGTCCTGGGCATAAACAGGACTTAAGAAAATGATGGTGAAGAAGAGGCTCCTAGAACAGGCCCCTGCTGAGTGCTCAGCTGCCTGCAGAGTCTAACTCCAGGAGTTTATGAACAGTCAGATGTTTTATTGGCAAATGGGCCATGTCTGCTCTTAAACAACCCCTGCTGGAGGCTTTTGCAATAAGGTCTCACTCAAAAAGAACTGGCGAGCTGGAGCAAAGGTCATCTATGTTGCACAGAGTCTGTGATTCCTCTTTAAAGATATGTATGGAGTGTAAATAACTGTCAGGGATATATATATATATATATATATATATATATATATATACACACACACAGTGAAACTTTCTTTGCCTTTTTTAATCATAAGTAAGACTTTCTCCCATCTCTTAATTTAAGCAGTTAAAGCCTATGTTTTAGAAAATCTTCCTTTCTATACTATTCTTCACTGCAGCATACTTCAATATTTTGTACCGATTGTGGCTACTCTAAAGTAGTGTGGTTCTGAAAGAGTTCAATTACATTTCAAGTTTCAGAAATATAGCTTGCACAAAAATAAGCAGCAAAAGACAACAATCCAAATGATTGAAAAGTCTGGTTAAAATGGGTTCCAATTAATTGAAAGTTTATAATCAAATAACTCTTTTACTCTGATTTCTTCCAAGTGGTTGCAGGAAAGGAGATGCTTTATGCCAAAAGTTTTTGAGCTATTGTCTTGTTTTTAACACCATTTGGAAATAATACCTAAGAGTTAAGCAAAATCAGCATAAGTAACATGAGAGGAAAACTTAACTCTTAACTGCTATGGTAGGAAGAAAATTGGTTGAGACACTATATCTATGATCCATCAGACCTTTGGGGAAAAGTTCGTTTTTAATCCTGCTGGAATCTCATCTCCGAATAATTAGGATTTCTGCTGACAGTCTGGACTCTGACTCGGGAGGGAAGGAGACCTTGAGTCAGAACCAGCTCTCACATCCTCTCTTAGAGGAGATGGTGGTTTTATTTCATAACTTGTTATTCCAGCTGTGGAGAGTTCATTGTGATGTTACAAGTTAATATCTTTCAAGTGTAGGTTTCAGATTTAGTGATGTTTTCTTGTAAGACAGATCATAAGTATGTTTTCCACTAAAATTAAAAAGGGAGCTATTGTCACTGCCCCCACTTTGAAATAAAAATGTTGCCTTTTCTAAATCTGACTTTTAAAATAGGTACAGCAACTAAAATTAGTTTGGAATTAGGAAAATTCAATATCTCTAACCCAAAAGGAGGTAAATTTGTATGACAACACATTTGAATCCCAAGTATCCAGGTACATTCTACCAGAAGAAATAATAGGAGAGAGAGACTTTGGTTACTGAGTAGGAAGATGACTGATTCAATCTAAAAAAAAAAAATCATGGTAACAGATGACATGACTACAAGGTTCTTTGGCTTTGACACGCAATAACCTCCACTACGTGTGGAACTGTACCGCACGTGGAGAGTCCAAGGTACCTTGAGGCCTCCCCCGCCCAGAGCAGCTGGTAGAGGAGGCGTGCACATCACCACCGCATAGCTCCCTGGTGATGTAACAGGACACAGAAGTGCAGGCACAGAGGTGAAGGTTGATTTTTTCCAATGGGAGTTACAGTTGCTCAACAATAGACTTTTGCCTTGTCTCCCTGTTGAGCGTAGTAACTTGCAAGAAGATTGCCCCCCTCCCTGGTACAGAGCTTAGCCAAGAAATTGAGTTTCTCGTGCTAGGTTTACAGAGGTGGAGATCAGACTGTGCAGGCCTAGCTTTGTTAACACCATGCCAAAAGCAACACAAGAACTGGCCTGGAACAGGAAGGCATATAGGACTCGGATGAAGATGAGTTTATTTTTCAGCTTTTTAAGAAACAAAGGTGAACCTAAAATCACCCTTGGTCATGTACTCCCTACTATTTCGTAGCCTGATCTGGCCACAGCCAGCCCAGCTGATGGGCCCAGAACAGGATCTCAGCACCAGAAAGACTCCTGGGGATGCAGTATTTAGCATCCACCAGGCATAGGGGTGCTGCCCCAGGCTGCCAGAGGCCAACCACAGCTGAGGTCCTTTCTCCCCCCAAATGTGCATGAGCCCTTTGGTGGGGGATATAGGGAGAAATTAAGTGTCTGTGTGCAGTTGATCAGCACCACTAGAATAAAAGGTTCTAAAATAGAAGGGCCTGTGCTTTTTTCACCGCTCTGTCCCCAGCACCTCCAGCGGGCCTTGGCACGTAGGAGTCAGTCTGTGTGGAATGACAGGATGACTGATGTAGGTATCTGCAAAGTAATGCATGCACTAGTGACCTGGGAGAGGAAAAAGTACTTTGGATGGTTTGTTGCCAGCCCTTGTCCTGGTGTCCTGGTTGGCTAAGATGTGTACAAATAGGAGATTTCAGCCAAAACAGGTTGTCCTCTATCTTTCACTATTGCAGACTCCAATTATCCCTCGGGTTTTTCATCAGAAAAGAAATCAGAACATGTGTTTCTATGTGTGCCCAGATTCCAAAAAAATGGGAGGACTTAACTGAACTTTCAACAAGATGTCTTCTGGTTTCTCCAATACATAATTAGCATGAGAATAATGATTCATAAGATTTGTTTTTCCCTCTTTGGAAGGATTTTCTGCGAAACATTCCAGGAAGCATTTTTTCATCAGATCTCTACGATCACTGGGTCTGCGTAATGGATCAAGGAAATGATGAAGAGAAAATAAATACAATTCAAAGGTAATTATTCTTTTTTTTTCCCAAAGGTAATTATTCTAACTGGATTATGCCTCAAAAGCACTTTTTAAAAAACATGTCTTGTAAGATTGTCTATGAAAGTAGTACTATCGAAGTCATACCCCAGGGGCACATTTAACAATAGACTCATCCCACTGTTGTTATTACTGTTTTCTCATTTTATAACCTGGAAGGCTGTGTGCCTTGTGTCTGTCTCGAGGGGTGAGGCCCACTGGACCAATGACTAATAGGCCCTGTAGACCCTGTAGTCTAGTTTGTATTTTAATATTGCCCAGGTCACCTAATCAGTAAATCCTTATACATCGCATGCAGTGGTTTCCCCACTCCAGTTTCCTGCATTATAAGGAATTGGGAAAGATGCTTCCATTATCAGAAAACTGTACTTCCAGGAATCAAGAATCCCACTATCATTTACTCACATACACTTGTTTAGCACATGCAAGTAACTTCAACTCTCAAATATGAGCTATTACCAACACATAGCTATTGGCAGATATCATTTGTCAGTAGAGCATAGCACAGCTGTCAAAGACACCAGAAACTAAAATATTAACTCCCTTCCATTATGATTTGGTTAAAACCAGACATAGTAAACATCGAGTCTATACTTTGTCCTACAAACTGTTGATTTTTTTCAAAAAAGCTAAAACTATGACTTGTGCAAGTATAAAATTAGCATATGTGAAAGATTTTTAGATCACTAATTTTAGAGGACTAGTAAGGTGTTAGAACCAGTTCAAAAGAGATTTCACAGTACCACAATGTAAGCAATTGAATCAGAAATGTTGAATGAGTTCATAAATACAGGCAAATGGAATTTTCCTATGGGGGTACAAGGATGGTGGGGGACAGAAAAGTCATTTGTCTCTGGCAGACGATTTTCCATAGACAAGTGTTAGGTGCTGTCAGTTTCCTACAACTTGGAGCTACTGAAATGACCTAAGAGTATCCCGAGATAGCACCTGCCTCCCCACGGAGTTCACTCAGTGATCTTTGCCCGGTTCTGTCTCTTTCGTAATTCACACAGCTAAACTGTACCCATCAGCTGATCATACTGACAAAACACCTCCCTGTCCAGCCACCGTGTACAATGTACCTCTTCTGTGGATCATAGTAAAAATCACTTTTCACAAACTAATTTTTAAGTTCCTTACCAATTACAACACAGGAACAGGAGGTCTTAAGTTATGATTAGCTTGATTTTATAGGTGAGAGAGAGAGATTTGGAACAAAATTGACCTTGGAAGCTGGTAGGACAGAGCAGCAGTGCTCAGGATGGACCTGGAGGTCACAGTGGCTCAGGTTTGGGTTCTCACTGTTGAGCAGCATTCCCAGTATGCCAGTTGGAAATACAGGAGCACCTTCATTTTAATCATTTAATTTCATCAGACAGCTTTTTGGGGTTTTGGATTAAGAATACTCTGAAATGTTACTGGATTGCTTCAGTTAAAATACTCTTTCAGAGAAATATTTTAGGCAGCACTTCTTTAATGAGCCATTTTTCTAATTCTTTTACCTTAATGTTGGCTTGTGAAGACATAGCGCAAAAGAAATCAACCCCAGGGCCTATGTGCTCTGTCTCTGAACGGGCAGTCTCCACTCTGCCCTGTGCTGGCTTTGCACAGTCCCGTGGAGAGCAAGGGCACATCTCTACACAAGTTGTTTATGAAATAGCTCGCTTAAAGCGCCTTTTTTGTCTTTAGACTATTAGACCAGCTTCCGAGAGCCAATGTTGTCCTCCTAAGATACCTCTTCGGGGTTTTGCACAACATCGAGCAGCACTCCTCGGCCAATCAGATGACTGCATTTAACTTAGCCGTATGTATCGCTCCCAGCATCCTGTGGCCACCTACTTCCTCCAGCCCAGAACTAGAAAACGAGTTTACAAAAAAGGTAGGGAAGTTTTTTGTTTTTCTGCCGTGGGGGACTGAGCCTCCATTTTGAGCCTAAAATTCAGGCTATTCTAGAAGACAACGTCTTAAATCACTGACATGCACCTCCTTATAAACGAGTGTCTCAGCCTCTCTGATAAACCACTTTTCTGCAATCTAACCATGGGCTACTTGATTTTTCCCTTTAAAGAGGCAGTGACACACTGACTGCAACCGTAGAGTGATAAGCAGCTGATAGGATTTTAAAAAGAAACATTCTGCTGGTGTTCAAGCCCACTCAGCCCTCAGCCTCACCGCTCGCTGGTTGCTTATACCAACCCACATTTGCCACAAGTGAGAAATGGAGGTGCAGACAGCACCCTGCCGTGTGGTGGCCGTGATTCATCCTTTGCAGCCCCATCCCTCGGTGCAAACACAGGATTCAGGGACCTTCATCTCCCTTTACCCCCATGTTCTGCCTCTTCCTTTGCCTCAGCTGTTGGGTCAGGGAAACTCTGCAAAGCCTGCAGAGCCTCTCGGTAGAGGCAGAAAGTGCTCCAGTTAAAAGCTTACATCTTCGCCAAGCACCTCCAGTTAGAGGGCGTGAGGGGGCAGAGAGAAGCTGAGGCCAGTCAAGCCCAGTGCCGGTCCTCTCTCCTGCTGTCTCTGCCCTCACAAGCAGCCCTGGAGCATGCCCTCTGCCCGCCTTTCAATGACTGCTTTCACACGTCAGGTGTACATTTCACCCCAGACGCCCTATTGAGAATACTCGAAATTGCCCTAACTTTAAAGACAGTCATTGGTATAAAGATGTTAGCACTAAGCCAGACTCCCAAATCACGTCAGTCCGCTGATTAATATCTATGCCCAAGCTGTTCTTAAAGTACCGTTTTCTTTTTAAGAGATACTTGCTTACTTTTAAACTGGAGCAGATGCGAATTTCTCTCAGGATTCTTTCGCATTATTTTGTTAAAAATCAGGATTTGTAAATATGCAATATGAAAGGTGTTCATATTGTACTTTTATCTTCACTTTTCACTCGTATCTTTTTTTGAACAGGTTTCTCTGCTCATACAATTTCTGATTGAAAATTGCTGTAGGATATTTGGAGAAGAGATCACTTCCCTCTTGGGAGAGGTTGCAGTGAGATGTGATACTAGAGAGAACGCCTCAGGTATTGTGAATAATTGGATTAGCTATTGTGAGAAAAGACATGCATCTGTGCTGGGGCAGGGGTTGTCTTCCAACCCAGAGCAGTTCAAGGAGAGGGAGCCTGTCCCTGAGGTCAGTGATGCCAGGGCTGCCCCTTCTTAGGAGGCCGGGCTGTGTCAACACTATGGTGGACGTAAAAAAAAAAAAAAAAGAGGAAACAGTTAAGATAAGCCCCTACTCTTCAAGAAGTTGTTGGTGGCAGCATGATACAATATGATGATTTGAACCTTCTTAAAAATAAAACTTTTCTGGGGGGTGGGGAGGGGAGGGATTGGGGTCAAAATAAGGGGGTCGCAATTGTATGGGGAACATAAAAGTAAAAAAAATAATAAAACTTTTCAAGGAACCCTACTGTATATAACAAATGCTATGCGTGAGCCTGGGAGCAAAAACCTGAGAGCAGACCTGTCTTTTTCTTCCTCTCCTTCCTCTGACACCAGCCTCTGTGGCCTGACACCAGCCACAGACACCTTAGAGTTCTAGTGAACAACGACAGATTAAACACAGCTGGTGTCGCGGGGGCAGGGAAGGAGGGCTGTGCAGTGTGAAGCTAGTCAGCCTTCAAGAATCTGGGTCCTCACACCACTAGTTTCTAGCCATGTTGTTTTAGGCCAATTATTTTCATGCCACTGAAGATGGGTATCTTCATGTCTAGAAATATCCCCAAAGCAATGAGAACAAGTCATAATATCCAGAAATGTCTAGCTTTGGTGGGGGGTGGTGAAGATTAAGTAGCATGCTTATCAAAGACCTTTCTCAAAGAAAAGTGCACAGGGTTTAGTGAATGGTTTCCCGAAGACTGGAGGTAACTATGCGCACCTGCCAGCCACAGTGTGAGAAGGCAGAGTCCTATGCCCAGGACTTGGGCGTACCTGGCATTAACTCCCTCCTATTTTTACCATTTCATGGTATTATGACTTGTTCTCATTGCTTTGAGGATATCTTTCTTTTAAGCTCTATTCTATTTATGCACACAAGAACCGGGGTACAGGCCAGAGGTGTGAGAGGACTCATCAGAGACAGAGCGGGGAACAGAACAGGCAGACTGACTGACTGAAATACACTGCTGAGGGGAGCAGCGGGCAAGTCAGGAGAGGTCTGCCACGCCATGTGGGTTTCTCTCTGGCTGGGGATCGAACTCACACTGCAGTGGCTACGGACAGCTTCATAGGTTGCGTCCTAACCCCTTGCGCCACCAGGGAGGCCCCACTTTGAGGCTATTTAAGGAAAAACCATTTCTTCAGAAACTGAGGTAAATCTAATATACCCCAGCAGGTGTTTTTGGTTTTTATGTTTGTTTGTTTTCCCCCCTGCACTGCAATTGGGAAGATTGTGAAAGGTTCTCCCTTGAGAGTAGGCATTTGAAGCATCTTCTTGACAGGCCCTTAAACTAAGTGGTGCAGTGTTCAGGCAGCATGGCCTGTACTTGTGGCAAGAGAAAATGCTAATGGCATGTTGATTTCCCCACTAGATCTCTCTTGCTTCCAACTGAACGACTCCTCCTACGACAGCTTGGAAAATGAACTGAACGAGGATGTGGACGCCCCGTGTAGCGACCTGGTGAAGAAACTCGGCCAGGGCAGCCGAAGCATGGACTCCGTGCTGACCCTCAGCGACTACGACCTGGACCAGCCAGAGGTGGAGGGCCTCCTCACCCTGAGTGACTTCGACCTGGACCGCTCCAAAGACGAGGACGTGCACCTGGCCCGGGCCCTGGAGTCCCAGCCGGGGAGGGTCGCGGTGTACACCAAGGCCCCCCTGCGGGATCCAGCCCGGGCCCCCTGCAGTCTGAGCACCCCCCGCTACCTGCCCCCCGCCACCGCCGTGGACGCCCCCAAGAGCCTGAGGCGGCACCGGCGCTGCTCGGAGCCCAGCATCGACTATTTCGACTCCAAGCTTTCCTACCTCAGGGAGTTCTACCAGAAGAAGCTCCGCAAGTCCAGCTGCGACGCCATCCTCTCGCAGAAGGACGCGGACAGCCTCAAGCAGAACCCGCCCCCCCGGGAGGAGGCTAGGGGCTGCCCCAGGCCCTGTGGCGCCCCCCCGGGCGGGGACACCATGGGCAGGAGAGACGCCGCCGGTCACACCCCGAGGAAGAAGAGCCTGTCCGCCAGCGAAGGACACCACGGCAAGCTCTTCCCCAAGTCCAAGCCCGTGGCCATTTCTGTGGCCTCCTGCAGCCACGTGCCCTCGCAGGGCCGCACAGGGACCCAGCCCTTCGCCGCCGACCCCCCTGGGTACTCCCCGCCGCACACGGCCGACGCCCTCAAGGGCCCGAGGAGGCACCGGCGCTGCTCCGAGCCCAGCATGGACGACCAGCGCTGCAAGCTGACCTACCTCAGGGCCGTGTATTCCAAGCAGCAGCAGAAGAGCGGCCGCGGGGCCGGCCCCCTGCACGGAGAGGACGACTATCTCAAGCGGCACAAGTCTTTGCAAATGGAGGGGCAGAAACTCATCAATCAGAGCCTGGTCATGGGGATCGAGGTGGGCAAGAGCAGTGCCGTGACCCCGAACCCCGACAGGGCCATCCCCCCACGCCTGCACATCGGCCCGAGGACTAGCTACTCCAGCCTGTCCTCCCCTGGCTCCTCCCCGTCGGGCTCCTCGGTCAGCTCCCAGGACAGCGCCTTCTCCCAGATCTCCGAGCACTCTGTGTTTACACCCACCGAAACCTCGTCGCCCATAGATTGCACTTTCCAGCCTCAAAGGAAGCCAGAGGAGCTCTCCTCGGACCTGAGCGGCTCCAGCCTCGTCTCTGGCACGCCCGGGCCCTCCTCGGGGCAGGCCGGCAGGCGCCTGGGGTACGCAAAAAAGGACCCGGTGGAGTGGCCTTCACAAATGCACCCCGTGACGCTGCACCCCAGCACGTGGCTGAGAAACGGTGTGGCCAGCTTGAAAAACTGGTCCCTCAAAAAGAAGGCAAGGGCGCTGAGACCAGAGGAAAGGAAAATAGACGTTCTCAAAGGGCCCACGGAGCCACTCCCACAGGCCTCTGGTGTGCCAGAGGCCAGCTCACTGCGAGACAGGCTGAAAGACATGCCGCTCGGGGCGGGGGCAGAGCCTGGGGCCGGGCACACTGACCCCTGGCCCAGCACCCCTCCGGGCCAGGACGTGCAGCCGCACAGCCGCTCCCCCTTCAGCCTGGTGGAAGACCGGCTCCGGGTCCCCGCGGAGTCACGGGAGGGCGGCGAGCAGGGTGGCCAGTGCTCCCCGGGCGCCCTGCCTTGCGCGAGGGCCTCACCCAGCCCTCCGACGGGGGAGGACGCGGCCAGCGCTGGCTCGGGCCTCACCGTGGTCCGCGATGTTGGGGACAGACAACCAGCCAAAGACACTGAACCACAGTAAGAATCTGACGTCTGCAAGATCAGAAACCCGGCTATTAATGACCTAGAGACAGTAATTATGACCCCTTTGTATAAAATACCTGGGATGGGTAGCAGAAGGATCATCATCGGTAATACTTAGGACAACAAAAGAATTCTCCTTGAGGCTGTTTGGCCAGAAAAATAATAATAATGCTTAGACTTAAAAAAGTTCACCACCTAAGTGTTTGGAAAGCTGTTCCTTCCTTTGCTAGGTCAAGGGCCTGGTCCTGCCGTGTGTTTTTAAAGATACTAGCAGAGGGCTAGAGGAAGCACCTCCTGTCCAGGCGGCAGGCCTGCAGGACCAGCCGGTCTGTGCGCTGAGTGTCCTGAGAAGGCCATGATCCCGCAGTGAGGACCGGGAGAGCGGAGAGGGGCAGGCGAAGCACCAACCCCAGCCCCCCGTGGGCTGCTTTCCTAAGCAGGCGAAGACAAGCCCGCGGTGACGAGGGAAATCTGGGAAGCACCCCCTCTAAGCAAGGGGCTCTCAGACGAGGTGGGACAGTCGTGTGCCCTCACAGGATCCTTCCGGGAGCCAGCCCCGGAGGCAGCAGCCCCAAGTGCACGATACCATGGCCTCTGTGTCTGTCGTGTTGGCAGACTTGTTCCTCAGTGTGGCCTTTCTCTGCAAAGGCCCAGGGAACGGAGCTGCGAGGAGAAAGAAGGGAACAGCAGCCCCGGAGGGATGTCCTAAGGCACCCACCTGGAGACCTCTCCAGAAAGGCAGCTTCTGCCGTCCTCATCAGGTGACCATCTCAGCTGGAGAGGGGCCGCGAGGCCAGGCCTCTCTGCTCTGCCAATACTGCCGCTGCCAGCTGAGCAAAGCCTGGCCCCTCCTGGCCGAGACATTTTGCCGCAGCCAAACGGCCTCTCCGCCAACCAGAAAGAAAAAGCTCCTGATAAGTCATCCCTTTTCTGATTGCCTTTCAGCGGTTGAGAGATCGCTTGAGAGACTGGCAGGTTAGAAGTGTCACGGAACTCAATTCCCCCAGGGCTCTGTCAGGTTTCTCCTCTGACAGGCATGGACTTTGGATTTTTCTTACCACCCGAAGTTTTCAGTTATTTTTGTCCTAAGCGATTCATGGTTTACAGATGATGTATGGACGTTCCTCGGGTCGCACTGGTGCACCTCCCAGATGATCCCTGCGGGTTGTCGCCCTCCCAACCCCACCCCCTGCCAATATGAAGGGCAAAATCAGAGCAAAGTGCATCTTCATTGTGACTATGTGACTACTCGTAACCAGTTTGCTGGGGGCCATTTGGTGTCTAGTTCACCAGCAGGTGGTCCTTTCGCACCACAAACCTGCCTATTCCAAATTTTTTCTTAGCCTCCAGAAATCTTTAAAATATTTTCCCCTGTTGCCCTAAAGGCTGCATTTTGCAGTGATTGAAAGAAAATAATGTTTTCTGTAAGATAGACGTCCTCACAGTATTAGCTATAGGTGCTACCTACCTCCGTGGGACATGGCCCTGTTTGCCCTCCCCAGCGTCAGTCACCGGGAGAACTCTGCGTCCAAAGAACGCAGCGATGCACTGACCATCGCAGTCACAGGTGTGAAGTAGATCTCACCTTACAACCCACCCCTCCCGAGTGACACGCCCCAGCGTCCGCGTGCACCTCCTGTGGTGGAGCATAGACAGCCAACAGGGACCCCCGACCCGCAGGATGACTACTGTCCAAAATGCAAGATGTGAATGAAACTTACTGCTTGGAGTGTCTTTCTAGAAGAACTTGCTTCTCTACCTAACAAGATAACAGGCCTAGCCTTTTTATTTTAAAATTGGCAGGTAGAAAGTCACCTACCCAAATTGAAGGGTAGCAGAAAATAGATGCTGAGATTCTTCATTAACCCCTGCTACTCTGTCCCCTTAGATACTCCTGTCACACTTAATGTGAATAGTTTGTTAATATTGCTGTAAAGTATAATGTATGATTTGAAGACAGACTACATGTCATTTTATTATACTCTGTCAATCTATAATATATTAGACTGATGCTTTATCTAAAATGCTTTGAGTTTGTATAATATATCTTGACAAATTTTACTACCATATGTTATGTAATAAATGTGTATTTTTGTACTTGCAGAAGCTGCTGCTAACTTTTAAAGTTGTTTGGTTTTCAAGGCACTGATAATGGATATGTATGAAGTCCATACTGTCTGTTAAATAAAATACCATTCTGCAGTTAACGGTCCCCACAGAGCTGCCCTTCAAGAAGTGCTTCAGTTCGTGAGCTCGATTGCTGCTTAACATTGGAAGCTCATAAAATGTAGCTCCCAGGGATGTGGGACTTGGAGCATTTAGCCACAGGTCACGGTCAGTCTTCCTAGAAAACTAGGGGCTTTTTTTTTCCCCTTCATATTTTTCTCATCTACAACTTACCAAACAAGTTACACTGTCACTGAGCTCCTTGGGTCAAAGAATAGATTATATTCTCACATGACACTCAGTTTAATTGATTACTTGAGATTTCCTCATCTAAATCTCAACCATTCTGACGAGAACACCCAGTTGTTCCTAGACATATACCCAAGACACCAGTACTACATAGGTCACATGAACTGATGGGTGAACATTACTGGTCTCTCACAACTGCTGCTGCATTTCCTCCTCCTCAAACCTCACTGATTTAAACATTCACTACCTTAGTCCAGAAAAGAAAATGATTTGCATACTGAGCAGTGAAGAGAGCAACTGCATTTACAGAAACACCACTATCGAGCTTTCGGCAATTTTTTCTTCCTAAACCTCACAGAAGCAGATTTTGCTTTTAAAAAGGAGACAAGCTATCAGAAACATTGAGCTCAAGAAATTCAAATTTTTCTGCTTTTCATGGCAAGACACTGAACTGAAAGGATGTAACAGTCTAATGAAAGAACAATGTATTCTTATGGGTCTGAAATAGAACAATGGCATATTTTTGTCTGTTGAAAGAAACTTCAAGAACATTATGTATCTTAGTCCATCTTATGGGAGTGCTTGCTGATTTTTTTTTCCTACCTGGTCATGTTTTAATGGCTTGACAGGAAGTCTTTACAAACTGCCTATTGCAGTGCACTGAAAATAACTGAATAAAAAGTTGGGTGAAATGTTAACTTTCTTTAAAATTCATTCTGATCGTGAGGCTATCTCCTACACTGAGTTTCCAGCTGAAAGGAACTCAGCTGCATGCTGTCCACCCCAAGCGAGTCCCCTTCCCCTGCTGAGCCCCCTGCGAGTGAAAGGCATTCGTTTTATTTCTAGTGCAGTGAACAAGTTGAGCTTCAGTTCTGCACAATGTCAGCTGCGTGGTAGAATTGGCAGCTACTCTGGGGTATAATCTGGATAAGTTTGTCTTTAAGCCCCAAAGAAGTGTCCTCAGAGGCTGGTATTAGGTGTGTATTTCCTTTCACTGTGCCCGAGCCTGCCCATCACGCAGCACCAGGGTGCACGTGCATCCTGAGGGCCAAGTGCTGCTCACACTGTCATGATCCACTAAAGCAAACTAGGTTTCCTGGAGCTTGATTTTACATGGCAATGGAAGATGCAGGTTTGGGAGCCATGAAGCTCTAGATGCTAATTGTTGTTGCCTAATTGCTCGGAGGTTACAGTCACTTGAAGCTAAATTTAGAACTTCTTGCAGCTTCTCTATCTGCTGTGAGGAATTGAATCAGCTGGCTACAAACCCGTACCTGTGAAGAGGATCTATTACTCTGAGCAAGTAAAAGGAATGCCGTAAAGAAACACTCTCAGCCAAGTTACAGGGGCTGTGGTGGTAAGACCATAAGCTTTTCAGGAGGGAAAGAAATACTTATCTTTGCACAAGACGGGGATGAGTAAGGAGCAAGCAGTGAAGAATCATCAAAGTGCATCAGCTCTGAGCAGTTGCTGCTTGAAGGCACAGCTAATGAGCAGAGGGGGAGGACAGCAGCATGCAAGCTAAGCCAGGCTAGAAACTGAATCACAGGGAGCTCAAACAGTGAAAAGAGGGAGGGAGCATGGCTGGGGTGATGCAGGTTTAACAAGCAATGTATGTGCTCTTCAGACAGTTTTAATTTTTTGTGGCGGTTACTGTCCTAGGCCCCAGGGCTAACAGGTTGAGTCTGTCCTCAGGGACTCTAAAGCATGAAGGGAAAATCTGGGCTGTGTTGAAGACAAAAACAGTAACATTGTCCACATGCACCGGTGATGGAGGCCAGTGCATTTCCTCACTTAATACTCACAGAAACACTACCTGATGGACACGTTCAACCAGGACCTCGCTCCAGCCCCCAGGATCTTTTCTCACTTTAAAATATGGATGGTGGGCCTCCCCGGTGGCGCAGCGGTTGAGCGCTGGGTTGTGAAGCTGCCTGCGGCCTCTGCGGCGCCGGTTCGATCCCGGCTGCTCCCCGGCCACCAAAGGAGGATCCCACATGGCGCGCAGACCTCTCCTGCCACCCGCTGCTCCCCTCAGCAGTGTACTTCGGTCCTTCTGCCTGCTCTGCTCCCCACTCTGGCTCTGGTGAATTCTCTCACCCTCCCGTGCTTCTGACTGTACCCAGTGCATGTATAAACAAAACAAACAAACAAATATAATAAATAAAATCATGCCTCTATAAAAAAAAAACTATTTAAAAAAAATAAAAAATAAATAAAATATGGATGGTAACACTTCTCTAATACAGCAGACAAGTTATACAGGTGAGGACCGCTCTAAACTCTTAAGTTGTTGTGTCTAGGCTACATAGCTCCAATGTAAGAGAATCCTTTCAGTATGAAAAAAATTCAGAAAGTTGTGTGAATGTTAAAAGAATTGGGCTAAAAATTTGGTCCAGACAATAAATCCTTGAAAGAATGCAAAAATAGACCACCAAATGTGAGCCCTGAGGTGTAAGAGGAAGATAAATTGTCTTAGAGCGGAGGACTGGAGAGACAATGGCAGGGTATCTCATGGCCCCTGGATAAAAGCCAACAACCCGGGCCTGACCTTTCCCAGCCCAGCAACAGAAGGCAGCTGGGATAAGCTTGTTCTCCCAGCGACCAAATACGTGCCCTTGACACAATGGGATAACATAGCACCACCAGCAGCGGGTGAAGATGGCGCTGTCCTAACAACAAGCATCCAGGGGAGCTTCCTGCTAGGCCTGAGTACCCCCATCTCTGTCCTCAGAGAATCCAGAGTAGCAAGAAAACAGCTATCATGCAGCCCAGCCTGGGAAGCAACTTTCTTCAGCAGACCTCAGATCCATCTTCCCCACTCAAAGACACAGAGGTGGCCCAGATGACTTGGATAGGAAGATTCCATCACAGACAGCACCCAGGCAGGGGACTCCTAGACCCACAGGGCAAAGGCTTCTCTGGCTGAGGTAAGAAGACAATGCCTCTAAAAATTAAACTGGTGAGCCACAACCCCTCCCTATAGGCCAGAACCTGCATGCTGTCAGTAAATGTAGTGACTACCTGCTAAAAATGAAAGATTTAAATGGGACCCACAGTTTCATAACAGTTTCCAGGATACAACAGAAAATCACAGCTTCAATGAGAAAGAACCAATATCAACATGATTTTAAAACAGGCATCTTTTTTTTTAAAAAAATGCCAATAAAATACAAATTATCTTGAAACAAATAGAAAATCTCAGCCAAAAAAAGTGTTTTGCAAAAGAGCCAAATGAGAACTACAGCACTGAAAATTTCAGTAACAGATAAATATCTCACTCTGTGAACTCAATAGAGATGACAGGACAGAATTAGTGAATTTGCATAAAAATCAGAATTTATATAATCTGAACAAAGAAAATCGACTGGAAAACCTGAACAAAATCTCAGGGCTTTATGGAAAAATAACAAGTCACCTATAGTAGTTCCGGAAAGAGACAGGGCTAGGCTGAAACAGTATTCAGAGAAAAAGTGCCTGAAAATTTGCTAGACTGGAAAGCTATACATTCAAAAAACTTGGTGAATCACAAACAGGTGCAAAGAAAGACATTATTAAATGTTTGGATACTGAAGACAAAAATATCTTGAAAGCAGATCGAAATAATGCCTTACTGATAGGAGAATACTAATTTAAATGACAATATTTATCATCTGAAACCATGGAGGTCAGAAGAGAGTAGCACACGTTATAAGAGCTAAAGGAAAAATATTCAACCCACAGTCGCATATCCAGTGAAACTACCCTTCACAAATGAAGGGTAAATAAGGACATGGTAAGGAAAACTCAAGAATTTGTCACTTGTGGACAGACCCATAAAAACTAAAGGACATTATTTGAACAGAAAGTAAATGTTAAAAGAACAAAATTAGAGCATCTAGGTGGAAGAAAGGGCACCAGAAGCATAATGATAGAAGATCCTCGTGGGTTTTATTGTTTGAAACAAAAGTATACCACTTGATGTGCACAGCAGTATTTACAAACGGGGAAAATAAAGGAACCTGAATGAAAATGAGGTTTCCACTTTAACTCAAAGTGGTAAAATGTTAATACTATATCCAATGTGAAATGTTACATCTGTATATTGTCACCCTCAGAGCAACTGCAGAAACTATATATTTGGAGAGTGTTTCTCTGCAAATAAACCATTAGAAAATAAAGATGAGTCTTTAAAAATGTTAAAAAGTAAGCCACAGCAAGACAAAAGAACAAAAATGAAACACAGCAAATCAAAATGGCATACTTTAGCTCTAACAATTATTTTATAAATTACACACAGCAATCAAAAAATAAAGATTAAGTGGATTTTTAAATAAATTATAACATAAATATGACAAACCTCAAACTCAATGGAAGTTGGTTGAAAGTAAAAGGATAAAAAACATACATGTAAACAATCAAAAGAAAGCAGGAGTAGTACATTAAAATTGGATAACAAAGAATTCAAAGCAAAGAAAATTAGTGGAGACAGAAAGGAACATTATGTAATGACCAAAGAGTCAATCCACCAAGAAGACAAAACCTGAGATGTGTCTGCACAGGTAAAGTTGCAAAATATGTAAAGCAAAAGCAAAAAAAAAAAAAAAGCAAACTAAAGGAAGTAAACAAAAGCACATTCATAAAGACTTGAACATTCCACTGTCAACAATACAACTAGATTTTTAAAAAGCAAAGCTATGGAACGCAACTACAATGTGAATTAGGACATCATTGTCATTTACAAAACATTCCACCACCAACAGCAACATATACATACTCTCTCCAATTTCCCATAGACCCTAAATCAAGATAGACTATATCCTGGGGTATAAAGCAAACAGCAACATTTTAAAAGGATTGAAATCATACAGAGTATGTTTTCTGACCACAGTAGAATCAAACTAGCAACCAAAAGTAGAAAAACAGGCAAATCTTCAAAGACTTAGAAAGCAAACAATTCTGAATAATCCATGGGTCTAAGGAGAAGTATCAAGGGGAAAAGATTGTTAATCTTAGAACTAATTGAAAATACAGCATTATCAAAATATGTGGATTGCTGCCAAGGCAATATTGAGATGAACATTTTTAACATTAAATGTTTATATTTAAAAAGGAAAGATTTCAAACCAAGAAGCTATCTTCCTGCCTCAAGAAACTACAAAGAGCAAAATAAACTGAAAGCAAGAATGAAAGTAGGTATGATAAAGAGAATAGCATATAGTAAATAAATATTGGGTTAACAAGGAAATCAAAAGGAAAGATGTTTAAATGCCTCAAGACAACCAAAAGTGAGGACATGAGCTGTGAGAATCAATCGGGTGCAGCATAAACAGTCCTAAGAGGGAAGCTCTTGACAACACAGCCCTACATCCAAGAAACAAAGATCTCAATCTAGTGGCACAAGGGGTTAAGCCTCAGTACTCTGCAGCAATCCGCAGCCACTACAGCATGAGTTCAATTCCTGGCCAGGGAGGTGACCCACGTGGTGCAGCAGACCTCTCTGTCTTGCCTGCTGCTCCCCTCAGCAGTGTATTTCAGTATATTTGCCTGTGTCTTGCTCCCCACTCTGTCTCTGGTGAATCCTTTCACCCCCACCACTCTGGCCTACACCCCAGCTCTTCTATGCAAAAATAATTTTTTTTAATGTAGAGAAAAAGAAAAATCAATGAAACCAAGAGCTGAATCTTTGTAAAGAAACAAACTA